ATACCAAGATATTTCTTTCGTTTAAGCAACCAATTTATTGACTAGGTAAATGGTGTGACCTTGACACAAAAAAAATATGAACTGTTTACCTATCTTGGTATTTCCGGCGTATTTAAAAATGGAATCATACTTATTTACAACAATTGTCAATCATTAAACTACCTATTTACCTACATAACTACACTAACCTTAACAAATGTTCAAAGCGAGCTCCTTCTCGTGTGATACACAGTTCGGCACGTTTACACATATTGTCTTTCACACGATTTAATACGAATGGGTCACTTTTAATAGTTTTGAAATCACTATTGATTTTTAATTTCAACTCCTCTCTGTTTACATACTCTGTAGCATACACAAGACGTTTCCTTGGGCATGTGTTGGAACACGGAACTGTCCGAAGTCTCGTAATCTTTGATTAGCGTTTAAGATGACGCTGGCCGTAGGTACTCGACGATTGGGGAACATCTCCCGGTACAAATTGATTGCGCCCGGCAAGCTATCATTTGCACGCGCATACGCATGAACCATGTCCAAGTATTCTGCATTTGTGTATTGAAAAGCCATATTTAATTACTAATAAGTAATAACGGGTCACACGCACACACGACAGATTATTATTAGGTATACGCGTAAGATCGATCGCTAGGCGCGCGCGCGGGAAGACGAACGTACGGACCTTACGGCGGCGCTGGCGCGACTAATAGCCGACTAATGGCCCGCTAGCCACGGGGCGGGGGTTGGGGAGTAGCGACACACTGGCGCCGGCAAGGCACGTGTCCAAACTTTATTTATTTATACGGAAATTTGGTCAAAAATTAAGTACCTATTTTTTTTACATAATTCGAATGAGAATCATGTACCGAGTATGCTCCTTAAATATTGATAGTAACTCACCAGTCACCCTGTATATTATTATAAGTAATTTAGCAAAATTTATACGATTTCAAGACTAATAGTTAACAGTTATACTATTGAAGTATGAATACAGATTTTGTAGAAAAACAATAATAATTGGTATTTTTCAAATTCCCTAGTAAAAAAACATGTACTTCATTTGATCCCACTTTGTTGAACTTAGTTTTTGCGTCTCTGTTTATTTGTGAGTCAAGATTTTGTTTGAAATGCCTGGAGGCATTGTAAACTGAATAAATATCAAACATAAAACAGAATTACAAGCTCTTTTAACAAGTTTTGCGACTCCAAACATTAGGAAGTTGTAACTTTTACATCTTTTTTTATTTTCTGAACAAATTTGAAGAATACCACATAATTCTAAACACTTTTTAAATCTTAGTCAGACATTTGAAAAAATTATAATACGCTCCTCATTTCGACATTAAATAGAGAATCATAAATAAAACACCTGATTCCGAACACTTATATAAAGATCGAAATCAATTTAAGTGAATTTTTTATACTTAAGCAGAAAAATTAACACAATGTAATAGTAAGAATAAAATATGAACACACTTTATAATAATTATATTATAAGGTATCCAAGTAGCCGAGTGTATATAACAGAAATAAATAAACGACGTGTTCAAGGGCCCTCTCTTGCCAGTAATACGAAATTTATGACATCATAAACTCCAATATGGCGACGCTAGTATAATGCGATATCTAATAAAAGGGTGAATAATATTTATATGTCTTCAATCGCTATGAGCACCTGTTAAACTGTTCATCAATTTTATAATATAACTTTTTCTTCTTCTATCTTCTACCTGGCAATTTCCCGGCTATATCCAGGGTCTGCCGTACTATGTTGTGAACAGTTTTGGCTAATTGTTTTTTACGACCGGCCGCCTGCCTGACATCAACACTCTTTTTGGGAATCAGCATTAATCAGTGATGTCTAAATATTCTTAATATTGTTATGTAGTACATATGATTCGGAAAAATCACATTGGTACTTGCCCGGGCCAGGATCGAACCCGCGCCCTCGGCAACGAGAGGCAGGCCCTCTAATCACTAGGCCACCACTGACTAAACTAATATAACTTTTTTTTGTATATGTATGAGAAATATCTATATTTTTGGATTCTATAAGACATAGAAACTACATTTTCACTACTTAATATTCTAATCCTTATTTGTAGCACTGGAGATTCCATGTGACTTCTTTTAAATTACAGCAAAAAAAGCTGTGACAAATATCTCGCTGCGACTGAATTGTGTTACCAGATCTAAATAAAATTAATAAAATATAGAAATAAGTGAGCGAATAAATAAAAAAATCTATTATATTTGTGTTATAATTTAATAAGTAACTTAATATAATTTATTGTATTGCTTATTATCTCTATTTTTTAATTTCATTTTTTTAAACTGATATTCATGTGTTAATATATGTAATTTATAAATGTTTTTGGATTAATTCAACTATATATCTAACATTAGATAAGCTTAATAAATATACAGCAAAATGCGTTGACGTAGAATAGAAAATTAAATTTCTATTTTGCTGTAAAAGCGTATTTACATATCCAGACATATATAAATTAAATATGTATTTAAATTGTTATCCATTTATTATATTAACAGATATGTCGGGTTTACAATACTTCCTGAAGTTACCTCGAAAAAAAAGGGGCATGAATAATATTATATGTATGAAATATTTGTTATTTTTCCGTATATTAATACTCGAATTTCGCATAAATTTTTCCTTCCAACAATATTTGGTCAATCGTTATTGTTACAGGTAATACATTCATAACGGAAATCCTTGTATGGCATTATCCGTTGATCAGCCATTAATTTGTGGATTAAGCCACAATCTATACAATATATTAATTACATTGTAATTGGTACTGTAGTTATTTCAAACACTTCAATTTTTGTGCATCATTGCTGTTATAATTTTATAAATAAAATTATTTTTATCCTCAAATAGATGTTTTCTATGTATTTATATTTTGGTATTTGATATAAAGTGACTTTAAACATCAATATTTCAATAACACAGGTAAGCTACAAGAAATTGTTTTTGACGCAATTCTAAGTAGACATAAGTAGTGTAGATTTTTTTCCTTGTCAAAAAGTAACATGGTATAATATAATTAAACAGAAGTCATTATAGGAATTCCCTGATTCCAACTATTAAAACAATTAATATTCATCAACGGATACATAATGAAAAATTCACTTAGTTTTATGATCTTCTAAAATAGACATCAAACTTCATTATTAAATATAATATAACCATTAAAAAGTCATTAGATAATTTCTACAATATATTAACTAACATATATTTTTTATCTGAAATATTGTTACTGGTTATAAAGCCTAGTTGCGGTCAAATTACCGGGGAAGTACCACCCTCTCCTAGAAGATTGGCGTGAAGTATGTAGTCTTTAATGTCTACTTTTCATCCGACTAGTGAGAAAGTCAGAATTTCCCTTTTCTGTCCTTTCCTTTTTCCTTTTTCCTTTTTCTATCCTTTCTTGTCTCTCTTCCCAGATCTCAGAAAGGTGGCAACGCACCTTCAAAATACTTTTCTGGATATCGATGGGTCACGATACTAGATCCCTCGAGTAGCCCGTTTGCTTGTTTGTCCCCTTTTCCATAAAAAAAAGATTTGTTCAAAAGAAATTTTTCTCCTAAATAAAAAAAGAAGGAAAAAGTAAATTTGTATCTCATTTTAAAAGTTTATATTTAAAGTAGACATTTAGAAAAATCTCTTTCCCGATACAATATAAAGGAAACTTATGTTTAATTATCCCGATTCCATTTGTTACTAGATAATGATATTAGGAAGTGGTAATATTTTATTTAATTTTTCTAATATTACACATCAATGAATATTACCCTGACTTTATTAATACGGATACCTCAAAATGATAAAACTTACTGATAGTGTTATCACAGGTTTGACTTAATTATAATATTGCGTTTAAGCAATATTATTATCAGTGGAAAGTGGTACTAACTGGTTCTATGATTTATCACGACCCGAAGACCCCTGTAAAGATATGGAATACCATATGTAGCACTCAATGTCTAGCTTTTATTAATAAGTTACGTAACTGGCATCACGACAAGATGATGTGTACTCATATGATCATACACATATGTATGTATATTAGATACAACAATTTATAAAAGTTTTTAATACAATTTCTGTTAACTTGTTTGCGTCTTAGGTGTTTGGTATCTTTACGAGAAAATTCCCAGAAAAGCGATCTATAAAATCATTATTCTTGTTTCGTAATAAGTTTTGTGTGGAATTCATATAAATAGGAGAAAGAACTATTACAAGTTATATTTAAGTATACGAATATGTAAGTAATTCATTACTTGAAATAAATATTGTATTAGGATTAAATATGTACATCATTTATTAATAATATAATATAATTAAATAGTAATGAAGTAATATAACAGAAATTGATGTTTAAAAATACGTATAGATATACAAATTACTTGTTAATAATAAGAGTAAGGATATTTTTTTCATAAAATTGCAAACCTTTCGTTCACTTTTTTTCATTACCCTATTTATAGTATCTTTGTATAATTTCAAGGTTTTTAAAATATATTATCTCATACAAATTCAAGGTTAGTTGACATTTTCACCTTAAAATAATTAGAATTATTCCATTTATTAGTAATTGTGTGTTATCTTACCAAGATATTTTTTATTCAAAAAATATTCAAAGTAGATAGTACTTATCATCGTTGGAAAAATTTGATGTTGAATGTTTTAATATAATAATACTAAACTATAACAATAAATAAGTAATAATAGAAATGACTAAATATTCATACTCAAATCAACTCATAGTTAATTATTATAATTTCTTATGTAAAAGTTATAGCTCTACGCTAGAACTAATCTAATAAAACCAATATTATAATTGAACTACAACAACACAATGTTTCTACCAATATCAATAATCGGTATATAAACGACTGTCGCTCCAGTTCGGCAATCAGTCGTAACACATTACTTACTAGACACTTCATTATCTTCTCAATTTGAAGTAGTTGTAAAAATGATTGAAAAAAAGGAAGAAATACCCGCGTTCGCCGCTCTAAGTGAATTTGCTAGCAGTAGCGTAAGTTTTTTTTTCATTATTTTTTTGTGTAATTTCTTTTTTCATCGTAGTTTTTGATAAAAAAAATGTTTTCAGATAAATTTATCTGGGTCTATAGAAATATAAAATACTATTAACACATTTTCATTATATTTTTGAATTCAATAATCATTTATTTGACATTAAATAATTTTTAAATTAAATACCTTTTTCTGTATTTTAAGATAACGATCGGGTAATTAAAGACTGCGTAAAACACTATAGTCTTTTTCGAAATGACAGATTATATACACGACGTCCATATTTATTGTCAAGCATATTAACTTAATGGGTATTTTTTATGCTCTGTTAAATTATAGACGAGATAAGCCTTTGTATCGCCTTATTGATTTTGAACCCACTTTTAGGTTATAGATTTTTACTGCCAATAAGTCAAATGTGGATAGCCATTCATACCTAAAAGTTATTATACATGTTAAAATAAAAAATAACATAAAAAGCGTGTCAATTAGGACGTTTTTAATTATTGACTTCCAAGACTCTCTTTAGTTTTATAGTTACTAACAAAATAAAGAACTTGAATTAAAATTTTACATCTCTTCAAATATAAAAAGGATAGTTTATCCATACAATATATTCATCCATCAATATAGTATCTCAGAATATTTATTTTAGTGTGCAGAATGTGTACATTTCTTAATAAGATGCATTTATTCTCATAGCAAGTAATATTTATTTGGGCGAAGCCAGGCCGATTTGGTAGTAAATAAATAATGAACGACATAAATCTTTTCCCAGGCCGGCGGCCAAGTTCTATTCGCAACCGACGATTTCTTCGCACCATGTGAAAACATGATATTAGATACCGAGCCAGTTTTCATAGCTGATAAATACACTGAGTACGGAAAATGGATGGATGGCTGGGAGACTCAAAGGAAAAGAATACCTGGTCACGATTGGTGCATCATAAAACTGGCTACAAAATGTGTTATAAGAGGTAAGAATTGTTTTATATGATCTTAAATAATAGTATGAGAAAATATTACTAAATGGTATCCACTATGGAGTATATAAAGGGGGGGGGGGGTTATAAAATGTAATGAACATGTTTCTAACTAGAGTAATATACATTAATTTGTTCAACTTATGTATATGAAATGGATTTTAAAGACGACGTTTCGTATAAAATGGTTCCGCCATAATAAATCAAGCTGCTTTGCTGTAGATTAGTAGATTACATGCCTCGGATTTTCTTCTTCTTGTAAACACGAACTTACTTTGTTCAAAACCTTAGATAGCGTGTGATAAATCGAGTTTATTTTTTATTTCCAGCAATTCATTATATCACTACAATCGTTCTTTTGTAGATGTAAATGAATTATCTGTGTAAAAAAATGTCAGACTAGAAAGATCGTATTTTGTAAAAAAATATTTTGTTTCAGGTTTATTAATAGATACAGCATTTTTCTCGGGGAACTACGCACCGAAATACTCTATACAGGCCGCTTGTTTAACGCCAGAAGGTAAACACAATTGTATAAAATAGTTATTAATTAGAATTTTTATAAATTATTTTCAAAACCATTAAAACAATATAAAAGATAAAATATAGTCTTTAAAGAACATTCCTTTCATGTAAAGACAAAATTTTGAGTTTCATATTATTGTAATTATTTTTAGGAAATATGTTAACTTAATATATGTCATTTACTTTGAACACTGAAATAAAGAAATAGGTATTTAATAGAAAGATTACTCGGATTAAGTTCACTCATAACGTTGAAGAATGCTATCAACAGCTGTCATAGTATTTATCGTCGGCACACGCGAAGAAATAAAATGTTATGTATATGTAATACTTACATATTGTTATTACCATTTATTATTGCTTCACACTGAGATTATTAAATAATATATAATTAATTAGCGGTGGAAACGATTGTTTTTTTAACTTTTATGTCTTTATAAGCCAATAATTTAACAATTTAATATTTAAGAGCAATATTTATCAATAAGAAAATTGTGTCTAAATCTGTCTGAAAGTTTATGCGTAGTTATATTTGTCATTGTCAACATAATATAACAAGTAAAATATAACACCTATTAACTATGTAGTTGAACTGTTAGTATATAGAGAATATAACTAGAAGTATATATGTATTTACTGCTTAAAAACTTGAGAAATAATATACGTAGTAAATTCTAAAGCACAATTCCCAGTTCTCCAATCTCATATAAAAGCAATTCAAAGTAACTCGAAAAGTAAAGCAGTTTTATCCGTCTAATTATTTGCAAGTAACGATCAATTACTGAGAATTTATGTTGCCTTTCGCATGTCACATACCGCTAATTATTTACCATCATTACAGAAGAGGCGTTATTGCCCGAAAGGGACTCAGAAATGGGGTCAGCGTGCACCGAATGTGACTTGGAACGGGTAAAACAGCTTAGGACTGACAAATGGGAGGAAATTGTCCCTATAACTGCTTTGCGACCCGGCTATGAAGAGACCAGGATGAACTTCCAGAAGGTATTTTTGTCTTTCAATATATTATGTGACTGAAAAGTTAAGTGTACTATCGTGACAAATAAATTGACTGCGTTATTTACATTATAAATAAAGTTAATGGTTTTATATGAAAATATTTTAAAAGTATCAGGGTGAATAATAGTAATTGTAACAGGTGCTATGTGATGAAGCGTGGACTCACATACGTGTGAATATTTACCCTGATGGCGGCATCGCAAGACTTCGTGTATACGGCGAAGCTAAACCTGAGCTACCAGCCAGTGATCACTTAGTCGATTTAATATCATTAGTAAATGGCGGCTCTTGCTTGGGTATGTATTATATTATATTATAATTTTGATTATTTAAAACAGAACGAAAGCTCTCAAATATTTAAAAAATTTAAATAATGCATTTTAGCTTGATTGTACCCTTTTAGATCTCGTATTTATGAAGTTTGCGAGATATTCAGGAAGTAACAGTAATGCATTCACAAATTCTATCTTGAGACGATCCAAACGAATTGCTGTAATTTTGCAAGCTGCAAGCTTTAGACTATTCTTTGTCACGATAGCATTTATACATTTATATTCTGGTTCCGTTGATCTGCGTATTTTGTTTTAAACTCATTAACAATTTTTCTTTGTAAACACACTGAGTCCTAGACACAGCGAAACAGTTTAATTTGCTATATCTAAAGTTTTATCTTTTATCAAAGAGTGAAGTTACGCAAAGCAAACGATATTGTTTGAAAAAAAAAATATCTTGAGATAAATCTTCACTAACACTGCAAAGAATAGATGAAATCGATATCGAAATCGCATTCATATATTTTTTCACGGCATTTCTCATAATCCATTTTCCTACAGAATATTCAAATGCACATTACGGTCACCCGAGAAACGTGATAAAGCCTTGCAAAAGCCAGGCAATGTCTGACGGTTGGGAAACAGCCAGGAGATTAGACAGACCTGAAGTACTCGAGACTTATGATGACGGAACTTTGAAAGTATCGGGTAAGTTGAATTTATATTATAATATTTTAAACTTCTTAATTTTATTCAGTTTATAAAATAGAATAAACAAATATGTATATATAATTTAAGAATCCAATATAATCATTAGTAAGATAAATTAATTTCATTCTAGGAGAAGAATGGTCGATTTTCAAATTGGGTTTTTGTGGAAGAATTACAAACATCTGTGTTGATACCGCACATTTCAAAGGCAATTATCCGGATACGATTAAAATAGAAGGAGCATTTGTTACAAGTGAATGGGCACAATCAAATAACATTACTTGGTTCAATATACTGAAACGTAGCAAGGTTAGTGTAAAATATTATTCCATTAAAAGGCTTTATTAGTGTAAAATATAAAATCTAAAGTACAAACAAAATCACTCGGATTTAAATGAGTTTCAACAAAGATCGAAGACTGTACAAAGTGAAAGTTTTTTAATTAAACTTTGCGTTTCTTCATAGCCTTCTAACATAAATATGATCTGTTCTCTAATCTTTCGATTTATAAAGTCATCAATTAAATTTCTAATAATAAAATTTCTTTTACAGCTATCGCCCCACAAGGAGCATTGGTTTACTTGTAATTCAGATGTTGTGTCTCATATTCGTGTTACAATAGCTCCGGACGGAGGAATTAGCCGACTTAGAACATTTGGTCACGTGGAACCAACAATTATTTGATATTCGTTATATGGACGTGACACTTACTATACTGTGATACTGAAGACATATGGTTACTTATAGACCTGTATTAGGCCAATTTAATTGTGTTTTGTTTCACAATATTTTACATGTTATCATCTGACTCTTATCTTAATAAGAACGTTAGTATTACATATACATACATATGCGTATTATGTACTGGTGGAATAAATTGTCTACTTTTAACACCGTAAAATATATTGTTCCCACGGGATATATGCCTCCGTGTGAAGCCAATTCGGAGAACTAGTGATTAATTAAATTTCATTCAATTAAAAAATAAAGCTCCCATACTTACATTTTTATTATATAAATTGCTTGTAGGTATAAGAATAATGATGATGTTTATTATTTCTAATAGCTTATATTTTACCTTTCTATTGTCCAACAGAGGCTGGTCCTCTTTTTTACCCTTAAGTAGATATTTTATTCTAAGTGTAATAATAAAATACAAAACGTATCTAAAAGTAATTGTCAGTTCCTAAAGTGTTCTGATTCAATTACTTTTATTTTTATTCAATATTAACATAGTAAAGTATTATCAATATTAGAAATAAATGAAATTCGTCTAAGCTTTGTTTAATTTGCTTTAAACCTGAGTCACGAGAAAAACTAGACTTTCGAAGATCATTAACAGAAAGAAAAAAGTTAAATACAATAAAATATTAAAACTTTTTAAAATTTAAATAAAGTTTATCCTTTATTTATTCACAGTTTTAAGGTTTTGGAATGAACAGTAAAAAATTTTTGACGTCTGCTAGCAGCTTCCTTTGACATCTAGAGTTTCTAAATTATTAGAATAGAGATAATTTTGTTTCAAAATAATCAATAACACCCAAAAAGAAACGTTTTAATGATTATGTAACGTAATATTAATAACTAAACAATATATAATTGATACTGCATTTCACTTGAAACTTATTTTTTCGATAAAGTCTTTTCTAGTTTTCAAATGAAGATATTCTCTTTCCCCTAATCATTTCAAGAAATTAGTTTTCCTACTCAGCGAAGTTTTATTTCTTTATAAAATACCCGCAAAACTCTTCGTTAACTGCAAAAGTGATTTAATATTAATATAAATTCTTATATATATACTCTTTAAGGATGTACAAACCCTTCAATGCGTCAATCACTGAACAAATTAGATTTGGATCTACCAGGGCGCATTATGATACACTGACATTTCATTATTTGAAATTGATAAAACGGCCTCGTCTTTAAAAGTTTAACAACGATAATAGACTTAGAAAATTTGTTGATTTGTATATAACTATTGATCATAAGACGTTTATCATTTACTTACTCAGCAGAAATATATATATTAATAAAAATAAACTATTACTAATCAATAAATATCATTTAAAAGTACTATATAATAAATCGAAATAACTTTATGTATGCTTCTTATTTGTTCTTTTACTTTTATTATTATTTCAATATGAAATAGTTTTGATTACTATAAACGTGTTTATTTTTATTGCTATATTTACTTGTCCTTTGTTAAGTCAGTGGTGGCTCAGTGGTTAAAGGGCCCGCCTCTCGTTGCCGAGGGCGCGAGTTCGATCCTGGCCCGGGCAAGTACCAATGTGATTTTTCCGAATCATATGTACTTTCTAAGAATATTTAGACATCACTGATTAATGTTGATTCCCAAAAAAGAGGGTTGATGTCAGGCAGGCGGCCGGTCGTAAAAACAAATAGCCAAAACCATTCACAACATGTTAGGCAGACCCTGGCTATAGCTGGGAAAAATTGCCAGGTAGAAGAAGAATTTACTTGTCCTTTGTAATAAAATACTCGTAAATTAACTCTTATATATACATTACTTTATTTAATCCGTCTTCTCGAGTTAGTTTTAGAATTTATAAAGCAAATTTAGAAAATTATCTCTATTAACCATCGACGTGAATTCTGAAGTACAATTTACATTTTAACCTTTAATGTACAAAATAGTTAATAATTAAATGTTCGCGTACCTTAGATTGTATCAGTTTTATAAATTTATTTCTGCCAACAAGCTAATTTTATGTTTTTCTTTGTGAAAAAACACATTTCATTCATTCTCTTTGAAATTATAGATGAAAAAAAAGTCAAAAAAATTATTGAGAGAAAAATAGAATTCAGCAGGATTATAAAAAGAACAACTAAAATGAAATAAAAACATACCAAAATCTAAATCAAGCCATGGTTTCAAAAACAGATAAAACTATAGACATTTTATTTTGGAGCTCTCTTGAATAAGCCAAATCACGATAAGGATAAGGCATATCGGTTCGTTCAAAAGCAAATCTAAACTGGCAAAGTTCATTGATCGGCAGACCTTGTCTGGATATACTGTTGAATTTAAATTCATTAATTACTAAATTAACTTCTTATATCAGCAAGTAACAACGTTATTAAAATTTATTACTTGTAATATCTTATTATGTTAAGTAAAACACTTTTAGGTAAACTTTATTATTATCAGATTTTTAGTCATTCAGTATCAAAGATGTCAGAACTTAAAATCATATTTTTGCCATGGTTTTATAAATTATTTACTAGCCATTTGTTTAGTAATTTTAATATTTTTTAAATATATAATTTGACTGTACGTGTTTACGTCATTAAACTCCTCCTATATAGCTGGACCGATTTGAATGAATTTGGGTGGCGCCTCAGATGTTCCAGAGTTTTTTAATTTATGAGATAGGTGGCAAACAAGCAGATGGTCTACTTGATAGGCAGAATTCACCGTCGCCCATAGACATCCTCAACAAAAGATATGTTACGAATGCGTTGCTAACCTTGATTATGAGGAAAATGGAGGGTGGGAATAAGGAAATGATAGAAAAAGGTAGGAACAGGGAAAGAAAAACCGGCTTTCAAACTCATCGGATGAATCGCAGCCATTATTCATATATCTTCTCAATTTATATTCTGCAAGGTTATGTATGTACGAAAAAATATTAATGATTTCATGAGAAAATGTGATACTCATAGCATTGGTACAAGGAACAAACACAAACTTGTTACTCCTGTTACTCGACAACATAGTCAGTAACTTCTTTGTAGGGCAATATATACGGTTTTACAACAGGATTCCAGAAAGCGTCCAAAAGCCTCTGTTGCTAAATTAAAAAATATATTAAGGAACGCTTGTGTGCAAAAGGTTACTATACAATCAATGAGTTTATGATCGATAGCACAGCTTGGGAATGAAACGATCGCCTTCTGGCTATTTCATCTCATATAAATATTGTTTATGTAATACATATATGACAAAAATAATAAAAAAAAATCCGCTGAGTTTCTTTCGCCGGTTCTTCTCAGGTCGGGGTATTTTCTTTTCCGAACCGGTGGTAGTGTCTCAAGTGACAATCAATAAGAAAGTGTAATGCTTCTATATTTAATAAAGTTATTTGAGTTTGAGTTTGAGTTTGAAATTAAGGACTGCTTCACGCCGATCTTCTTTGAGAGGGTGGTACTTCACCGGTCGAGCCAACCCATATTAATACTAACCCATATTAAAACTAGATACAATTTTATTTTTACGTTATAAATTTTTATGTATCAAAATCCATTCCAAACAAATGGACAAAAGCCTAAATATGGGCGTTATATCTGTGCTTTCAATAATATAGTTTTCTTTTCGTGAATGTCAATATGAAAAAAAAAATTCAAGTAAACACTAGACCAAGGAAATGAGGTGTGGAGCAACAACCTCCTTGCAACGGCAACGTTGCCGTTGCCGATGCCGTTGAGAGTGGAGATACCGAAGAGGATGTCACGTCAAGAATCGCCAAATCAAGAGCAACCTTCTCGCAACTCCGCCCTGTATGGCAGTCACGGAAACTGACCAGGAGAGTTAAACTCAAAATATTCTGGTCCAGTGTCAAAACCGTGTTGCTATATGGATGCGAGACTTGGAAGATCACTAAGGACATCTCGCATCGGTTTCAGGTCTTCGTCAAACGGTGTTTTCGCCGTATTCTCGGTATTTACTGGCCCGAGAAAGTCTCCAATGTGAATCCGTGAGAACGCTGCGGCGAGATACCAATTGACTTACAAATCAAACGTCACAAGTGGAAGTGGATCGACCACACGCTCCGCAGGGACCCGGAACATATACCAAGGCAAGCCCTAGACTGGAATTCCCAAGGAAAACGAAAACGTGCCCGCCCTAAGCAGACCTGGCGGCGGACAATTACTGCAGAAGCCAAAAACATCAGGAAGACTTAGAGCGACATGAAAGGCGAAGTTCAAGGCCAAACGGGATGGCGGCGTACTATGGACGCCCTCTGCCCCATCTGGGGGACATAGGATTAAAAAGAAGAATAAGAGACAAGTAAATTCTTAACAGTGTCTTGTAATTTTTTTATGCAATCATAAAATTTGTTAGTTTTGTTATCAAAAAATTAATTCGTTTTTGGTACTTTTATTTATTTTGATGTTTATTAAAGTGCTTTTTTAATTATTTCTTCTAGAATTTAATGTAATTAATTACAAAAAAAATATTTAAGTGTTCTTGTTGTATTTTTAATCATAATTTTCTTATAAACTAAAGCAAAGTTATAAATCATTATATATCTACTAAACAGATATATGTATATGTACATATACATATAACAATTGTAGCACTATTTTTTCATATAGTTCATCAAATATATAAATTTTTTATACTGTTATTTTTCATCACTTCTTATAAGTCACAGAAACTTATATCACTTTTAATGATTTCATAACACTGAATGAATTTTGTTAATTTGGTCATAAATTTGTGGTTTAAATAAAAATGAAGCATGAATAATCTATACGAAGCATGAATAATATATATGTAACAATATACACGGGTGCTATAACATATTGAGGATGAGACCTGTTCACACTGACATCAAACCGGTTCATATTGACCTGTGAGTATAAAGGTCGCTTATCAGAAGTGAAACACGCGCTGCGCTAACATTGAGACATTACTCTTAACAGTAATTAATTATATT